TTAGACTCTATGCATCTGGCTATTGATACAGGTATTGATAATATCTTAATTATGGGCGACTTTAACCTAAATGAAACGCACAGTACTTCTTCTAAGAGAATCAGAGATATATGTTGCCAGTTATCATTGCATCAGATTATTGACTCACCTACACACTTTACAGAATATTCGTCGTCAGTAATTGACCTTATATTCACTTCTAATAACTATTTCATTCATACTAGCGGAGTTGGCGATAATTTTCTCCAGCAGGATGTAAAGTATCACTGTCAAATATACTGTTTACTAAATTTGAAAAAAGTATTTGTCTTTGATGTTTTTGTTGTGTTATATTGTTGTTTTCTTTTGTAAATAATCATCCTTTTTCGTATGTCTATTTATTCTATCGACAAGCCTCCAAGCTAACCCCATTAGTATCATAAGTTTGTGTATTACTCATAAATATAGAAAAAAGTATGTCTTGAACTTATAACCTTCTTTACATATTCAATTTTTCAAACAAAAAATGTTTTGCCGTAAATTACTTTATGTAAATACTATGTTAACTTTTCATGTTTTAACACATTATTGTAAGACTGTTAAGGGATGGACCTCCGACCCTTAAATAGTCATGCGACGGAGGCAATAAATGGGGTCACCTTCGGGGCCTGAAAAAAAATTGAAAAAACCTAAGAGACTTTCGTTTTATCGAAATGTTTGGATATTTGATAAGGGTATTTACGATTTCTTAAGACATTTGGCCTCTGTTAGTCATTGGGATTCCCTGAAAAATGAAGATATAAACTTATATACTAATAACATAACCAGCAACATAATCAATATCTCGAAGAAATATATCCCAAATAGAAAAGTATTGATCCAAGAAAACGAGCCTCCTTTGTTTAGAAACGACTTAAGATTACTATTAGAAACGTAAAAGACTGTATCGTAAAGCAAAACAAATTGATTCGCCTTATTACTGGGCTCGATTTCGAACCCTGAGAAATCACATAATATCAAAAATTCGCGTAGCAAAGAAACAGCATATCGACAATTCAGCCCAAAAATTACAACAGGAAAATCAAAATTCAAAATGTTCGTGGTCTCTTCTTAAATCATTTTTCAAACCTTTCTATTCTACCTCAATACCACCACTGACGACAACACTGTCATATCTGACAACGTTGAAAAGGCCAATTTTATGAACGACAATTTCACCAAGACACTCATTGATGAAAGTGAATCTCCCGATCTCCATGATTAACCTAACGTTACTAACCATCTGGATGATATAAGTATAACACCAGGCGAATTGGAATTGGTATTGAAATCACTTCCTTTGGGAAAAGCCGCTGGTCCTGGCGATATCAACAATCGAATCCTTCGCGAATTCTTCCATGAGCTCAGTGGTCCTCTATGTGCTCTTTTTTAACTATTCTATTCAGATTGCTCAAGTTTCAGATGCATGGAAAGAAGCTAATGTTTCTCCTCTTTTTAAATCCTTCTTTAGCTAATTACTACAGACCCATATTCCTCATTAGTACTGTCTGAAGGAATTGTATTTAAACACACGTTTAATTTCCTTAGATCTAACAACATTATCACATCTCTTCAATCTGGTTTTGTTCCCGGAGACGCCACTGTCAATCAATTAACATATCTATATAATATTTTTGCACAGGCCATTGATTCTGGTAAAGAGGTCAGAACTGTCTTTTGTGATATAAGTAAAGCGTTCGATCGAGTCTGGCACAAAGGACTTATTTTCAAATTAAATTCTATCGGTATGTCTGGTCGTCTTTCTTCTTGGTTTTCTTTTTATCTCAAGAACAGAAGACAGAGAGTCGTTTTCTCCGGTTGAAAATCATCTTTTAGTTATATTAACGCTGGTGTGTCGCAGATCTATTCTTGGGCCAAAGTTGTTTCTGGTTTATATTAATGATATTGTTATCGATATTAATGCAAATGTAAGGCTTTTTGCTGACGATACAAATCTTTTTATTGTTGTAGAAGATCCTATCACTGCTTCCCATATCCTAAACACAGATTTGCAAAAGATAACTTCTTGGGCTGAAAGGTGATTGATAAAATTCAATCCCCTAAAACAGAATCATTATTAATATCGCGTAAAACAAACAGACTTATAAATCATCCTCCTATTATTAAGCAAAACACACAAACAAAAGAAGTACGCAATCACAAACACTTAGGTATAACTTTCACTCATGATTTACGCTGGTCAACACATACTGAATACATTAAAAATAAAGCTTGGAGAAGAATAAATGTTATAAAAGAAACTAAAATTTCAATTCGGCAGGAACTCACTACAAAAAAATTACCTATCTTTTAGACCGATTATAGAATATGGAGATGTACTATTTGATAATTGCACTCAAAATGACAAAAAAGAGCTTGAACAAATTCATCAAGAGGCAGCTAGTATAATTACCGGAACAACTAAACTTGTGTCTATTGATAATCTGATGAAAGAAGTTGGGTTGGAATCCTTGGAAAAAAGACGTTACAAACATAAACTTATTCTTTTCTTTAAAATGAAAAATAGTCTTACCCCTCATATCTCTCTGACCTTGTTCCTTTGTCTGTTGGAAGTGAGCATTGGTACCCCTTCCGGAACTCAAACGACACACAGAATATTCACACAAATACAGATTATTACTATAAATCATTCTCAGAGATTTTAATTCTCTTCCACCTCAAACGCAAAATGCCTCAACGTAAGCTTTTTTAAGCCCCTGCTTAATAATGATTTGCCAAGTGTGTCTGCTTATTTTCTTTCTGCTGTTCGCAAACTTCACATTTTTCACACAAGATTATGCACTCACTGCAGTTCGCTTTCTGCCAATCTATTTGAAAAGAATATAATCAAATCTCAGTTATGCGAATGGGAAGCGAGAGAAAATGCCTATCATTACTTCTTGGAATGCCCTAAATATACTAACCTTCGACCAGAACTAATAACGACTATTTTCTAATTTTGTTATCCTTCTATAAATGTCATTCTTACTGGTAACATCTAATGTATCTATCTTTACCGCTGTTCAAAAATATATCTGAGAAACTTACCGCTTTAAACGCGTATCCCAGGTCTTATTTACACCTGTTACATCTAAACATACTTGATAGTTACTAGATAATGCATCTTTGCTCTATTATTGTTCATCCATTTCTTCTTTTCTTTCTCAAATTTCCATTTTTCTTGTCAATAGAAGCTGGTAGTTTTTTTAATTGCATAATTGTACTTTCAATGAAGATTTTGTTTACAATCTTTTGTCTCCGTTTAAACACAGTTGTCTTTTCGATTTCACATTCCTAGATGAAAATTAAATGGTGACCTAACTAAATCAATCTCTGTCATATAATTTTTTTTCACATCCATTTTGTTTCATTTTTCTTTTGCATTTTTATGACCATTTATTTAAGTATTTGTAAATTGCAAAATACCTCTTTTTGAAAATGTCTTCCGATTGATCACTTTGTTTCCAGATTTTTATACTTCACAACAGCAGGTGTCAAGTGCCATGTGGCAGCTTTTTAAAAAGTCGCCCTGACTTTATTTTGAAATTTTAAAATGTTTTTTACATTTTTCTGGTCCATTTGGGATTCATTGGGTGCCCAGCACTAAAATTAAAATGGGTTTGGGAAATTTGGAACCCCTCAAGCCCCGGTTTTCCCGGGGCTAGGGGGGAAAGAGGGATTTGCACTTATTTTTTATCCCTTCCTGTTTCCCGAACCATCAAACCGAGTCTGCAAAACCTTTTGTTTTTGTTGTGAAATTAAAGCTTTCCGAAAGGGTCACTTTTTTTCCAGAAAGTTGAAAATTTTTTTAAAAGATGAACTTTGTGGGTGATAATTTCCAATTTTAAAATATTAAAATGTAAAAATGCTTAAAAATGGGGAAAAGGACCCTTTTTTAGCTTTCATTTTGCTTCTGCCCAATCCCAAATATATTGTATAAATATTGTTCATTCTAATGTAAATATATCGAATACAATATGTTTAAATCAATTGGAATTTAAATCTCCGACTTATAGAAAAACCGCAACCATTAGTGTTTTCATTGTTAGCGCATGCGTCAATCTAATGACATCAGGTAAAAATAAACAAATGCAGAAATTGAAAATTCTGGCAATAAACGTGTGGTTTGTTTATTTCAAAGGTATTTGTAAAGTTTGCTATCTAATCAATAAGCAATACCACAAATATGAGGCATTGTTTCGTGTATGTGGTGAGTTCAGCTCTCGTGAATTATAAAAAAATCAGTCGTAAAATATTTTGGGGATTATAAAAAGCTAGAGAACTCAGTTTTATCTGGTTTTGATGTTTATTTTATTTAAACCATGCACAGGGACTGCGGAAAGGGCCAAGTCGCCAAAAATATGTTCGCCCTATTTGATCGGAAAAGCGAAATTCTAGTCGCCGAAATAATCTGACATGTATATTCCGTGGCTAAAACTGCCTGGAGTCAGGTTTAATTGTGTACTCTGACGTAAAATTTTAGCACACGCGCTGAAGAGTAGCCATAGGCGACACCTGCGTAACCCCCCGAACCAATTCGCTAAAAAAAAATCTTTATTAGGCGCTTTGTTATATGTAGTCACAAATTTATCGGGGCGTAAAGCTGGGAAGACCCTTGATTGATACGAACGTGGCGGATGATAATCAAGGAAAGGTTATTGAAATTAAGTTTCATCAAACGTATATTAATGTGTTTCATTTGCATTATTTCCTTAAAAGTTCGCCGGTTTGGTTTTTGTTGTTTATGACTCGTTATCTCTGTTACTTACTATAGTAATTAGTTATAACTGTATCTTTGTGTAACCTGAATTCGGCGATGTAAGAATGAATGTCAGTGGATAGATAGATAGATATTTATTCAGATTAAAACACACATATACATAATACAAACACTTATGCATTTTTATATAAAAGATCATAATACAATTGTAATAAAATATTTCGGAAGTTTGTCAAAGATAAATATCACAGGAGGTTCGTTAAATAATAATAAATAATAATAAAGAACAAAATCGAAAAAATACATTTCAGACAATACTAAATTTATCTTTCTTTCCCTGGACTAGATATTAATTTACCAATTATTAATAACCAATTTAAAAATTAATGTGACGACGTAAGTGAAAGCATGTATAAAGTAGTGTGCAATAACCTCGGATTACTCATGAAAGCCCGAAGGCTTATTTCCAGTAGGGTCCTTGGATGTATACTTACCAGAATATACAATAAAAAAAAACTTGAGAAAAAAACTTTGGAAACTAGAAGATGTCATATAGATAAAATATTAAACGTTGATATTTTCTTTTACTTTATTTACAGGAAAACAGTAAAAATGAAGATCAATATCTAGTCATACTAGATAATTTTATTATGATTTCCTAACTGTTCGAGTAAATGGGCCTTTTCCGAGCTTTTGTAATCTCCTATCTTATTAATTTTTTAACGCATGTAGGCAAGGAATTCCAATCATGAATTGCTATTTGTAAAAATGATACATTATCTTTACCATAACTTCTTGGGACCCTAAAATTGTACTAATTCACGCGAGTTGAATAAGAATGAATGTCTGTAACAGTACAACATTTCCTTTCATATATGAAGTGCACTGGTAATAATTTTGAAAACATGATTAAGACGTAATTGCTTATTTCTGTTTTCTACATTTAATAAAGACATATTAGCAAGAATAACATTATTGACACTATCTCTATGCCCCGTACCGTGTATAAATCTAACAATTTTATTTTGACAAATTTGAAACTAACTTTTAAAACAGACTCGGGTACAAAGAAGAACATGCATACTCGAAGTGAATACTGTATTAATGCTGAGCATAAATATTTTCTAGTTCTAAAATCTTAAACATTTGCTTGCCTATAAAAAACTTTTAAGACGTGAATTTACCTTTGTAAGAAAACTATTGAAAACAGATTCACCTGACAAAGAATCATAGATATTTAAACCTAGATATTTGACAGATTTTGTGGATTCAATTATATGTCCATTACAAAATTTTTTAAACTTTTTTTTCACTTGTTTAAGTTTACCAAAAATAAGACATTCAGTCTTTTCTACATGAAGTGACAATTTGTTATCTACAAGCCAAAATGAACAAGACTCTTGTATTTGTCAAAGCTTTTGAGAAATGATACTTGGATTTTTATGAGCAAAAAGAATTGCACTGTCATCGGCATACATGCTTGATCTATACTTATTCTCATGTCATTTACATAGCACAAAAATAAAAGAGGACCAAGGATGCTACCCTGGGGAACCCCGACATGTAACAGGCATATTATCTGATAAAATATTATCAGACGATTATATTTGTTTTCTACCTTTAAAGATAAGACATGAACCAGTCAGTATCCATCAATTTCACTTTACCAACATAAAATATCATGGTCAACAGTATCAAATGTTTTTAGTAGGTCACACATTATCATGCCTGTGTATAAACCTTTGGAATTATTATTTCTGCTATGATCCATAAGATAGATATGATCCATAAGATGGATAAGACATGTGTCAGTGGAAAAGGAATTTCTAAAACCTGACTGTAATTCATACAATAAACAATTATCAACTAAAATATTTTCATGTTGTGAATGCACTGATTTTTTCTAAAAATTTTGATACAATGCATGTCAATAATTTCCTATTTCAAGATTACTGTAAAGGTTTTACCCTAGCTAATTTTATGTCACCAGGAACATAATTTTCTGAAATTGACATATTGATACTATCAAAGTCAAATGTTTCTTGCATAATCAGGCAACCAGCCCATACACATATAACATAATACAAATAATAATATAACAGTAATGTAATTAAATGTAATTGGTATTTTTAAAAAGGAAGCTGCATCTAGTAAAAATTCTTGCCAGAATTTCATCTAACCCAGTACTCTTTGATGAGTTTAAATTCTTACGCTCTTTCTATACAAATGTCTCAGACACATGTCTCAGACATATGTTTCAAGTGCATTTTATTGTTCTTAAAATTTCTATCATTATAAAAATCTAACAAAGCCTGTGAGTCAATGTAAACAATTTGCTAGCAAGGTAACTACAACACATTTTGAATCATTTATTCCAGCGTGTTTGCATATCTTAAATATGTTTCGATATATCGCCCATATTTACCCTTCGATATATAGATATACAAAACTTTCTATCTATGACAGCCCAAGTTTCAAGCTACATGGTAACCCCTGAATATAGGCAAAAACAGATAAAAGAATACTTGATTAAATGTGGCAATTCAGTATTCATAATTCAAATGAAAGCTTTGAAGTCGATAACACTTTTTAAGTTGCTTAAGGAAAACCTTCAGATATCTATAAAATTTACCTAACAGATGATAAGACTGACTAAATATTTATGGTTTCTTTGTTCATGTTTTATTACTACACCTTTCTCAAATTATGACAGCAGTGATTATTACTATATTTTATTTCGTCAGGAATTTAATGAGTTAATTCTAACTTTACTCATCATAAAGTTTTGTAGATTCATGTTTAGCTTTTAAAGCCAATTACTTGATTGCACTTTTTTCTTTCCACCAACTTCACCATGTTGATTGACTGCGGCATTTGTTGCTTCGCCATTTTTCATTTTACTCATCACTATTTCATCTTTTACTTCTTTGTCTGAAGATTTTTTGCAGGGTTCAGTTTTCTTTCCACCAACTTCATCATGTTGATTGACTACGGCATATGTTGCTTCGCCATTTTTCTTTTTACTTATCACTATTGCATGGTTTACTTCTTTGCCTGAAATTTTTTTGCAGGGTTCAGTTAAAAGACAAGTTCAAAAAATATTTTTATTTTTTCCATAAAAAAACAACAGCTATTTGTTTGCTATAAATAAAAGGTTTAAACTATATATGTTTGCTAACTTTTTAACAAGACGTCCAAATTTGCATTGTAGTGTCAGAGTTATGTCACAAGCAAAGTCCAAAGTGTAAAAATGAGCAAAGGGCAATGACTCCAAAATTAAGCAAGGCAAAGTTAAGGTTCTTTTGCACTGCACTTCTAATTAATGAGATCAATCTATCTAAAAAGTTTCATGTTGATACATCTTATGATTTCAGAATTATGTCCAGGACAAAGTTCAAAGTGTAAGAATAAACAAAGGGCAATAACACATAAATAAGGCAAGACAGAGTTATGGTTCTTTTGCACTGCACATATACTCAATAAGATCTATCTGCCTACAAAGTTTCATGTTGTTATCTCTTACAGTTTTAGAGTTATGACCCGGACAAAGTTCAAAGTATAAAAAATAAACAAAGGGCAATAACCCAAAAATTAGGCATAACAGAGTTATGGCTATTTTGCACTGCACTTCTACCTATTGAGATCTATCTACAAAGTTTCGTGTTGTTCATCGTTTTATTTCAAAGTTATGTCCCGGACAAGAATAGCGGACGGACGTACAGACGGACGTAAAAGCGGCGACTATTTGGTCATCCTTCGGGGAGCATAAAATTTTTGTTACAGAATTTTTAAACACCAAACATCTGAATACCGGTAATTGCTGAAGATAAAGCTTTTATATCAAAGGTGCTTAATTATTTCTATTTTCTGATGACTTGATGAATTAAAAATTTTACGATGCAAAAAGTTAAAGTAGGTTCCAATTAGTGGAGACTGAGTTTAAGCTTGGTACCAGATACATTGAATGTGTGGCATCATACGTCATGGAAAGATTATAAAAGAAACTATGAAGTGTCAGTCGTTTTTGGGACTGGGATTCAGTTTTGGCCTCATTTATACTCACTTTGATTTTTCAGCATTGGTGATGTTCTTTCATCAGACATGCTTGCGTTCCTGTTGAAGTAGAAGTGTTCAAGATTATATGCTATATTCAAATATTATTTATATGATAAAACATTTAAAACAATATAATTCATATTGTATAACAGTTTTTTTTTCTATTTGATAAATGAGAAGTCAATTATTGAAATATAATTCAGTAAGAAATGAAACATGAAATACGATTTTTCCAACGAAGCTTAAGACTAAATACAATATCTGAGCAAATTTTCGTCCGCGGTAAACCTCATCCGCGGGGTCACGCGGGTTTTGCAAAAGCCGCGCTGAGCGTACTGTATTTGAAAGGTAACATACATTCGGCATGATGACCGAAATATAATACCAGAATATAATATCATTTGGATGATGCTAAAAATACTAATACATTGTTATTTGATTTTCGTAATAATATTTTCATTCTGGTTTTTACCCAAATGTTTAAAAGGTTTATCGCTTTTGTAGTTTAAATATCTAAACAGCAAAAGTATCTTTTTTTTGCTATCATATATTATATACAGAATGTCTAGGATTCCTCATTCCTTTTCTCTCATTTCAGACGGAAAGTTTTAAAAGTCAAGTCAAATATTTTATTGGAAGAAACGTAAACATATTCATCGCCAAGTAACCTTTATTTGGCGGTACAATGCAGGGTGCAGAAAATACTATCCATTATAACTTTAACATATGCATATTTCTCAGTGAACAACAATTTAAACAAATGTATAAAATAGATTCAATCCTTTGTTGTATCGAATATACAAATTTAGCTAAGTAAACAATTAAATTTTTATTTGCTCATTTCATCACTGAAATGAGTTATTTTTTTAAATTAGGCCATGAGCAAAACTATCAAGGTAAACATGAACGTAGATGTTTGAAAGACCTACCACCAGAACACAATCATACATATTTGATTTGCGCTTATAGATAAAACTAGCCAGGAATATGATTAGTATTCTTATGGTAAAATAATATTTAAATTGCTAAAAGAAAAGTAAATTTTTGCTGTATAATTCAATAAAATATGAAATACTATATTTCTCTAACGAAGCTTCAGTCACACAGACGTCATGCTTAGATATAATACTTGGATATCATATTGTTTGGATGGTGCTTAAATAAGTATCACACTGTTTTAGAAAAATATTTTTATACCGGCTTTTACCAAAATGCTTTACAGGTTATATTTTTGTCAGTTCAAATATTTAAACATCAGAATTATCTCTTTTGCCACAATTTATTGTTATACATTCATCAGAACACAATCATACCTTTTTGATTTACACTTATAGATAAAACTAGCCAGTAATATGATCAAAATAATCGGGACTCCAATCACGGCGCCGACAATGACACCTGTTGGTGAACGCTCGTCACCTGGTTCTTTCGCTGAATATGAAAATACACATCATTTAAAAAAAGCGATGAAATTATTAAAACCTCGCTTAACAGAAAAATGTTTTATAAAAGTCGAACAATTTCTCAAATTTATAAAATAAAATATCAAATGAAAATATTATTAGAATAAGAATTCTACCTCAAAAGTTTTTTTTTTAATTTGGACATGACACCGTCGAAATAATTACGGAAATCGTGTTTTATGTATTGTTATATTTGTTGGACATTAGCCATTAAATATTCTAAAACACACCGTGTGCAAGATGAAGTGAATTTCCAGTATGAAACTTAATGGCTTTAAATGGATTTTTCATTCATCTCAATATGTTTTTAGATTGCATCCGAATTTATTTCTTGTATCGTTAATGAAACGGTTTTAATTATAATATCAAAACTTTTCTATATCTATCGGACCCTTGTTGTAAAAAATGAAGAATTATAATAATGTTCAATGCCTAACAATTTTATGTAGATTAATATTGCTAAGATGAATATATGTAATGTTATAAAACATATCAATTGGCTATTCCTTGAAGGTTCTTCACTCAAACTTTAGCGCACAAGTAAAAATAAACTTTAAAAGCAGCTGAAGGTTAAATACCGATGGAAATATGTGTTATCTTTAATTGACTAGCTCCTTCGTTGTTTGTCAACCTATCGATAACTTCTATCTACAAATACCGATGTAAAAATATCAGACTGTAACTGTAAACAATAGTGTTGCGATAAAAGAGTCACAAGAAAAATAAATAGCTTCGATCTCTAATTTATTAAATCATATAATATGAAATTTGCATTATTGCATTTTTTTTTTGCTTGTAATCAGTCAGTTATATTTCTGTCGGTGCACAATGTCGGGGATCTTTATATATTAAAAGAGATCTCCCACTTACCAAATACAGTTAGCTAACGTAATGTTGGTGGTTCTACTCAGGTGCCCGTTCATGCTTGAAATAATGAAGGAAGAAACGTAAGGTCTTCCTCCACCAGTAAAGTTGGAAAGCCGCTGTATGACTTTCAATGTATTGGTACGACGAAAAATCCAAATAAACAAAAACAAAAGCCGAAAAATCTTGACTCTTAATTTTACATCAGCAAATGTATTCATGAACATTAATATCTTTTAAATAAGACATTTACTTAAAAGACAAATTCATTACCTTGACTACAGATTGGTTCTTTATATCCAGGGTAACACCCTTCAGGGCATACGCCGTTTTGTTTGTTACAAGATAGGTCATGCTTACAATGTCCACATGTGTAATTACAATCTTCGCCGTAAGTATTGTTATAACATTCTGTAACATAATTTAAAACTTAAAACACTGTACTAAATGATCCCGAAGGACTAAAATGAAATGCAATATAATTACTTTCTTTACACTTGTTTCTTTGAAAGCTTGGCTTGCACCTTTCATTACAATCGCCATTAAGATAACCACATACATCATGTTTACAATTTGAAGGACAACTCTCCGTACATTCAATACCAAACTTCCCAGGCAAACATTTTAATAATGACATGATGAAAGAAAGTATTATATTTCATAATAGCAGTTAACTTCGCAAATACCAAAATGAATTATATTAATTAACTCATCAGAATGTGAACATTATTCAGGCATGAAATATGCAAAGACATAAATAATGATAAAAAATTGAAATTCTTTTGACATCAGTTTGTTTGTCTTTCCGTATTCTTGCTTGCATATGCGGCACTGATGATTTATCATAAAAAGACGATAAATCAAGATAGTTAATGGATTTTATTTCTTGAAAAGTAAATATTTCTATTTCAACTGTGTGGGAAAACGATAAAAAATAATTAAAGTAAAACAAACAAATTTAAAACGGTGTTGAAATGGAATTACATATGTGTGACAGATTTCATGTTCATGCTTGAAATAATGAAGGAAGAGCACGGAAGGTATTCCGTTACCAGTAAAGCCGGAAAGCCGCCGTTTGACCTTCAATGTATTGGTGCGACGAAAAATCGAAAAACAAAAGCCAAAAAATCTTGACTCCTAATTTTAGGTCAGCAAATTTATTCATGAACGTTAATATTTTTAAAATAAGACATTTACTTAAAAGACAAATTCATTACCTTGACTACAGATTGGTTCTTTATATCCAGGGTAACACCCTTCAGGGCATACGCCGTTTTGTTTGTTACAAGATAGGTCATGCTTACAATGTCCACATGTGGAATTACAATCTTCGCCGTAAGTGTTGTTATAACATTCTGTAACATAATTTGTTCAATTGTAAAATATCATCAAAACATACCTATATTATTATACTTATCTATTTTACATTGTTTACACATTGATATATCCCTATATGTTACTTAATTTTAATTAAATTATTAATTATTCAAATTATACTTTATAGAGGATGCATAAAAATGTCTCGAATACCACAATGCAGAACTAATTAATACTGTACATTTAAAAATACTATTAGAGAAAACATTAGTTCATTACTTAAAGTACTTGAATCATCCGACTTGAAGTTGTACATCGTTTACAAAAATCACATTCGTTTTTGTTTCTTGAAGAAAAATAATTCAGATATATATAAAATACCTTGTATACATAGAGGCGGAATCCATCCAGGTTCACATGAATTCGGACATGCCCCATCGGAAACATTGCAATAGTCGTTGTTCTTACATTTACCACATGTTTTTTTGCATTCTGGACCCCATTGTGTGTTGGAACACTCTACAAAACAATCATTGTTCTGATTTTTAATTAGATAACGAATCACATAGTTTAGTGTTTAGAATGCTAGATTCTAGTCTATCGGTTATATAGTCAGCAAGGAATTTAATGATATATTGAGTTTTAATGTCTTTAATAGTAAGTTGGTCGAATTGATATATACAAAGAAATAATTCATTTGTCTTAAGTATAACATGCTAAGTAAAATCACATCTTTAACCACATTTTTAAGATGAATACTAAATTTTGATGTATATTTGGATTAATATTATTGTCATAATTCTAATGGAAAATCAAAAAGTTTACATGTATACAGTTTATCAAATAGCATGATTATTTTTCAACATTTTGTTGTTTAACGTATCTTTAAAT